CTCCATCGCTCACAAGAAAATGGCACTCAAGATCAGTAAGAAAGTAATGTAAACTACAATACTACAAAGGTAGTGGAGCTTTTGATGCACAGTCACTGAAACAGCTTTATGGGGCAGGAACCACTGCGGTTCCCACTTGAGAAATGAGGAAGCCCAGTCTCACTAGTAAGTGCCCATACTGGGTTCAACCCAAGGCAGCTCTTTGATCTTAACTACGGGATACAAAATGTAGAGTATTATCTTAGAGAAAAAACGATAATTTTATACAAAAATATAAAGCAACAGCATGGAATATTTCATAGGTATTTTTAAAAAATCAAACAGGTCTATCAATACGAAGGTAAATAACAATCTCTAAATCGTTAAATCAAAACAAAATATGAGAGAAAAATGTGGGTGGAATGGGAACTGAGTGGGACAGACACCTACTTTTTTACTATGCAGAACTTTGGATTTTTTCCATGTATATATAATGTTTATTTAAAAATTTATTTTTACTACAAAAAATATTACTTGATTCCAGTCAGAACTTATGATTCACCTGCCCAATCTCTACTGAAAAGCTGTATGTTCTTTGATATACATGGATAGAAAACAATACAAAGCAATTATCTTCACATGAACTGTGTAAGTACGTAACAAAGGTTCTCTATACAAATCTCTTTACCCACACCTCAGGCATTCCCCATACCCTTCTTGGGGTTTTGGGGTTTCTGCTTACCACCTCTTCTCAAATCACTCTTTCCTTGGCTTTATGGTTTATTTTATTTTTTGTATTTTTAGGGAAGGATCTACAGGGGGTTCAGGGTCTCACTACTAGATCTGACTTGTAGTGATCTGCCTGCTCATAGCCTCTGAAGAACTGGGATTATAGGCACTGCGCACCACCACACCCAGTCTCAACTGCAGGCTCAGCATGCCCCAGGGGTGGGGCTGGCCCAGCAGGCCAGGGGATTGAACCCCTGCCCCCTGCACCAGTTTGCAGGCACTTTAATCCACTGAGCTATTTGGCCAGCCCTGATTTTTTATTTTTGGAGACAGTCTCACTGTATAGTTCAGACTAAACTCATTATATAGGCCAGGCTGGTCTCAAACTCACAAAGATCCTCCTACTTCAGCCTCCTGAAAGCTGGGATTATAGGTATGCGCCACCCTGGTTTTAATGACCAACCACAATTGTGCTACTCTAATTCTTACAGTGAACTTTCTCTGGCTGGACTCTTGTCAGTAGCCCACAATGAAGATGACCACTAAGGAGTGGCTTTAAATTCTCTACAATTTCCTTTCTACTCCCTTTAAGGGAGTCTACTGTCAATTTTCTTCATGGAGTAAACTAAAATTTAGTTTCTCTCAAATCCTTTACTCAATGTTTTTTTATACACACAGCTAAATTTCTAGTCTCCCATGCATTGTATTTATCAATGATGTCTTTGCTCCCATTTTTTTTTTTTTTTTTTTGGCGGAACCGGGGATTGAACTCAGATCCTTGTGTTTGCCAGTCAAGCATTTATCCTACTGAGCCATCTCCCCGGCCCCCATTTTTTTTTTTTTTTAAAGAAAGAAAATTATTTATTGAGAGAAAGCTTCTAAGAGGGACAGAAGGGGGTCCCGAGTGGGTGACCCAGGAAATCCGCTTTTCAAGGTAGTTTTCTAGAGAAATGCTGTGAGGTGAGGTGGGTGCAAGGTGGGACACAGTTAACTAATAAGATTGCTTAGGTGACACTGAACCAATGGGAAATTACAAGGTAGGTGTGAGGTGGGACAAAACTAAGGTCAACCAGTCGGGGAGATGGCTCAGTAGAATAAGCATTTGCCTGGCAAGTGCAAGGGCCTGAATTCAATCCTCAGTTCAGCCAAGAAAAAAATAAAATAAAACAAAAACTATGGCTAACCAATAAGAGTAGGTGTATAGTCGCTTAGGTAATGTTGGTTACATGTGGGCCAAATGGGGAAGCAAATCATGGAGCAAGCATACAAGAAAGGTTTGTTCCCAATTTGGACCCAGTTATTATTTTTTTAAATAGTATTGGGGATTAAACCTAGGGGGCTCACACTGAGCCATATTCCCAGCACCTTTTATTTTTTGTTCGTATTTTTCCAGATCTTTTGAAAATTTTGCAACTCTGTTAAGTCACTAAGTTGCCCCAGCTGGGTTTGAACTTGTAATCCTCCTGCCTTAGTTTCTCCAAGTGCTGGATAATGGATGTGTGCCACCATCCCTCGCTCATGCACACAGGCATGCATACATTCAGTTGTTCCTTCTTATTAGGATGTTTTTGCAGTACACAGTGATTATGTCTTCAGGGTTTGCACCAACATACTGCTACTACAATGGGACAGGCAGGATTCCAACACAGGTGCAGCTGATTCAATATTCCTAAAAGCTCTAGTTCAGCTACAGCCACTGGTTAATAAAGAATCATCCTCTTACCAGAAAGAGCCATGTTTAAATACTTCTTATAAAGACTTCAATTTTGCCATGTGTGGTGATGCAAGTGTATAGTCCTAGCACTCTAAGAGACAGAGGGAAGAGGAAAGCAATTTTAAGCTTAGCATGGGCAACTGGGAGAGACCCTGTTTCAAAAATGTTTTTAACTATAACTAAGTAAGGGGATATGTGACTGAGTGTGGGCCCCAAGTTCAACCTCCAGTGTTGGAAGAAAAAAAAGCCCATATTTACCTTACTTGAGCAAGAAGAGCAAATTAATATAAATTCTGTGGATGACATGAATAGGTGGCAGAGTAAAGTGTAGGTGACATTGGGTAAAGTAGAATTACACTGCTGTATACAAAATCATGGCCTTCTAAATGGAACTAACACAGCTCCCTTCTGCTTTAAAATTAGATATGCTTTAAGAGGAATCCCTTTACTGGTCTGCACGGGATGGATGACGGGAAAATTTGCTAAACTGTTTTTTTTATAATATGTAGGCAGCAGACAGTAGAGAGAGTTTGTATGAACACTATACATCCTGGGAATACACATCTTTTTCTAAATTTTTTTTAATTTTTAAAGGTTATTATTGTTTTTTAATGTATTTAGTACAGGGTCTCACTACGTAGATTGGACTTGGAATGCTTCTCCTGTTTTCAGCCTCCCAAGCGCTGGGATTTCAGGCACCAGCCACCACGTCCAGTCTTAGCTGCTGTCTCAGTGCGCCCCGACACACTGGGGATCGAACCTTGGCCCTGCGCTTTGCCCGAGCAGGCACTTGAGTCAGCTGAGCTATCTGGGCATATACATCTTTTTTTTTTTTCATTTTTATTTATTCATTTATTACCCTTAAAAAAAAACTTTACTTGAGAGACATTATGGCAATAAATGGGGCATACACATCTTAAAGGACTCTCATGATTCTAATGGGCTCGCCTCCTTGAGTGACAAGACATCCAGATGCCTCATGCACTACCTGGTAAAAATGAAAGGTTCACCCAACAGTTGCTATTATTATTGTTGTTATTTCGAAATAACAACTTTAGGTCACAGCATCAATACTGTGATATTTCTATGTTGTTTTGGGCAGGGTCTTGCTGTGTAGCTCAGGCCGGCTAAGTGCTCAGCTACATGTGTGCCACCACAGTCAGCTTCCCCTTGTGATTTTCTAGGGTCAGAACAGTGAGGTACAGTGCATGTTTATCCAAGCCTGACAACAAAGACCACACATCCAAAATGGGTGCAATGACTTACATGGGAAAAGGAAAATGGGAGAACACTCATTCACACTCATTCAAAAAAGAATCACAGGACATGAAAGAAAAAAAACCCCAAGAGCCAAGACATAAAGTACATTATACCTAATGATGCTTCAATAAAGACTGAGTTTTTCTCTTCCTAGGCACTTAGGACCTAGGTACAAAACTAGCTTCATGGAGAACTGAAAACATACCACAACAATATATGCATACCCATGTTTACAGCAGCACAATTTGTTATAGTTAAATCCTGGAAACAACCCAGATGCCCATCAACTGAAGAATGGATAAAGATGTGGTATTTTTTATACAATGGAGTATTTCTCAGCTATAAAACAGGACAAATCTGAGTTTTTTGTAGGTAAATGGATGCAATTAGAGAACATACATCATATTGTCTCCTTAGTGTAAGAACCTGAAAGAGAAGGGTACAGAAGATACTGGGAAAAGGGAATGAACCTATTCAAAAGGAAGGAATTACTGAGCTGAGAAGGACAGGAGAGGGAATGGGCAAAAGAGATATATCTATGTATGCAAGCAGGATGGTTTGGACATTTCTGCTGGTCCATGGTAAGGAACAAATAATGCTTAATTTCTTTTGTCTCCTTTTTCAATTATTTGTACATTTCTCTTCTTAGTTTCTTACATATTTTTTTCTTGCATGCATGTATCTGGTAATATGAATAACTGGCTGGAACACAACACTGCATTACAACAAATACTGTGAAATTCATATTACTTTGTTAACTGAAATTCTTTCTTTTTTTTTGTGGAACCGGGGATTGAACTCAGGCCCTTGCGCCTGCCAGGCAAACGCTTATTCTACTGAGCCATCTCCCGGTCCCTACGTTAACTGAAATTCTGCATGACTTGTAATTTTTTTTGTTAATACTGTTTTGTACTCTCTTTAAAAAATAAATAAAAAAGGGGCAGGGGAGATGGCTCAGTGGAATAAGCATTTTCCTGGCAAGCGCAAGGGCCTGAGTTCAATCCCCGGTTCCGCCAATAAATAAATAAATAAATAAATAAATAAATAAATAAAACTAGCTTCATAAAAACTGGGTGTGGTGGTGCATACCTGTAATCCCAGCACCCTGGAGGTTGACACAGGAGGATCACTAGGAGTTCAAGACCAGCCTGGGGGGCTACAAAAGTGAGCCCGAAATGCATAGCAGACCCTGTCTCAAAAAAAAACCAAAAACCCCCCACAAAAAACCCCACCACACACAAAAAAAAACTCAACTAGCTTCATATTTACTATCATAAAAAGCACACACTGACACCTGTACCTATTTGTAAAAACTTACCTTATAATTGCGAACATAGAATTGAAATTCTTACATTCTCGACAGTGAAGTGCAATCTTAATAAAATGTTTAATAATTTTCATCCGTTTGAGCTGATTTGATTCTGTTAAAATCTCTGAGGCAACCCAGAATGTCTCTTGGTTTACAATGTCCTCAAACTCCTTCAAGTGAGTATTTCCTGTTTTCGAATCCAACTTAAAAATGTCATCAATGTATTCAGTAGGCTCAATATTACGAAATAAGTCAAAGTCCCTCATTGACAACTGGGTGGCCAGCTCGATGGTGCTGAGCTGCAGCATGGACAGCTGGCTTTCCTTAACCAGTTCCTGAGCATCTTCATCTGAGCATAAAGTTTCTGTTTCCATGTTATTTTTTAAATAATACCTAAAAGGAAAAAAAAATTTAATAAAACTGATCATAAATGTATGGTTCACAAAAACACTTTACCTCTTTTGTCATTCTCAATAATGCTACTTTACTAAGCACACATCTATAAAGTCAGCTCTCTGGAACAGTAAAAGGAAAACTACTCAGAAAAACATTTGTGAGGGCTGGGAGATGGCTCAGTGGAATAAGTGCTTCCCTGGCAAGCACAAGGACCTGAGTTCAATCCCCGGTTCCACCAAAAAAAAAAAAAAAAAAAAAAAGAAAAAAAAAAGAAAAACAATTGTGAAAATGAGTTTCTTCTGTCCATAGCACACTTATATTCTAAACTTTTTTTTTTTTTTTGAAACAGACTCGTGTTATGTAGCTCAGGCTGCCTTTGAATTTGTGGTGATCCTCCTGCCTCAGCCTCCTAAATGCTGGGATTACAGGGGTGTGCCACCACACCTAGCATAAACAAATTTATAAGGTAATACATATATATAGTCAGATACACATAAAGATGGCTGTTACTCTTTCTTCCTTTGCAAAAAAGACTGAGTATATCAGCTATTCTAAGACTTTATTTTTATCCTGATTGCTCATACACTTTGACAAGCTGGCCCCCCTTTTATTTTCCTCACTCTAGAGTAACCCTTAAGAAAACCCCACAATTCTATTAAAAAAAATTATTTAGTACAGGGTCTCACTACACAGATAGGACTCACAGTGATTCTCCTGCTTTCAGCTTCCCAAGTGCTGGGATTACAGGTGTGTACTACTACACCCAGTCTCAATCGCTATCTCAGTGGGCACCAGGGGCGGGGCCGGCACAGAATGCTGGGGATAGAAACCTGGTCACTGTGCTTTAGTCCACTGAGCTATCTAACTGGCCGGACAATTCTACTTATATAGCAAAAGCTTGGAAAAAAGAATCCCCTCCCCCCAAAAAAAGAAAAAAGAATCCCTACTTTAATTTAGAGAGAACTCAGTAGTAATAAAACATGATGTTTCTACTTAGTGAGATCTTAAAAAAACACAACTACAATTAAGGATATTCACCTTCCATTGAGTTGAATTCGATCAGCTAATTTGGAGAACTGGTCTGGAAGTCTTCTCTGCTTTATGACACCCTCAGGAGTAACAGAGACTTCACAGAGAGAGTACGTGTCAGATGCTCCCGTCAGGCCAAATTCATGAACAGCATGACAAACCACTTCTTTAGCTGTAGTGTCTTTACTGATGATAATGTAGCAACTTTGTTGATCTGCTTTGAAAACTCTTATAACTTGATCAGGGATATCTATGTAAATATAAAATATGCTTTATTATTCTCAAGAAAATTACTTTGAAAATTTTTTCAAAAAACAAAGTGGGATACAATGACTCTAATTACTGACATTTCTATTTCAGGCAGGAGATTAACACAAATAACTGTTACATTTATTAACAAAAATGTACTTTTCAGGTGACAAAATACTAATACATGTTCACAAAGATAAAAATTAGAAACTAGAACCATATTATGATTTGAAAGCCATAATTTTTCTCATTAATTATAAACATTCTGATGTTATTCTTCTATAAAACTTTTTTTTTAGGGTTGTTCTTTATCTTTTATTATTATTTTCACGTGCTGGGAATTGAACCTATAAAACTTTTTAATAGAGACATAGTATTCCATCTTATATATTTTAATTATCCAAACCACTAGTGATAGGCATGTAGACTGCCCACCATTCTCAATTATGAGTTACATTAGATATAGACACCCACCTTATACAAACTAGATAAACTTTTGCAGGTAATCTGTTTATTTCCTCAGAAAACCCCTCAGAAACAATTGCTGAGATATAAGACATGCATATCTTCAAAGACTTTAGAACATATATTCCACAGAGGAGTTATACATACTCCACAGAAAAGTTGAAGTTTGTAATTCCAGAATGTAAGACAACAAATTTGGTCACATCCATTTTAAAACTGTTTAACAAAAAATGTTTAGTTTTGTTTAGCTTTTTTTTTTTTTGCAGAACCAGGGATTGAACTCAGGCCCTTGCGCTTGCCAGGGAAGCACTTATTCCACTGAGCCATCTCCCTGGCCCCTATTCTTCTATTTTTCATTTCTTTTGTTACTGATGAGATTGTGCAACTGGTAGTGGTTTAATGATCCATCATATTCCTTCTTTTCAAAAAATTCCTTTTAATACCTTCTCTGCTTTTTCCTACTGAAATACACAAGGTACCAACACTTAAGTCTACTATCAAGTAAATGTTCCATAGTTTTTATATTCTATTTATTTTTAATGCCAAAAGGTTCTAAATGCTCATTAGTTAACTATCACAACCTGTACTCTTCTGATTTCTGCTAATAGCAAATAAATTCCACCTCAAGATAATGTTCACGTGAAAGGCACACATAAATGGAATTTCATATTTCCTCTTTCTGTTCTATCTTACTTCTTTTTCTCACCACATAACTTGGCTAAAGCTTCCAGAACAGTGTTTCCTTTGGTAACAGCGGGTTGGCTAATTGTTAATGCTATAATGTTAAGTAAAAAGGGATTTGCTACTATAAACAAATGCTACATTTCCCCTACTAAAATAGTTATTTATTTTTTTTTTCTTACAAAGATTTGCTATTGTGACCTTGTCTGTAATGATGGTAGTGGAGTTGGCAGGGGAGATTTTGGTGACTCAACTAATTATTCTGCTTGAACAGCATTACATTCTTAGGATCATGTACACTATTAATTTTTTACAGAAAAAAATTCAGGAATTTGTCTCAAGAAGAGAAGACAGGAGAGAGAAGAACAATGGAATAAATATGGCAGGCTCCTAGTACTAGAAGATTTAACTGAATATCATTCCAGGGAGGCACCTTAGTTACTAGATACTAAACCTTCTTGGACTGTCAAGGTAGGAGAATGCTTTATCTCCCAGCTTCTATATTCAGAAGGATGCACCAAGCTGTCTTTCCTTGATATATTCAAAGACTTGAGTCATCAAAGCCAGATTACTGTATGATCCACTCAAATCAAAAACGCTTTTCTTCCCTGTGCCAGAAAATGACTGCAAGCCGGCGGAAATTTAGATTTGCCAGGAAAAAGGAATCAAAGAAAGGGTTTTAGTGATCCTCTTTTACTCTTTAGATCAGATCAAACATTATACTATTAGCTATATCGTTCCCACCTTCCTTATAATTCTTCCGGAAAATGAGAGCTAGTCTCTAGAACTGGACATTCACTAAAGTTCTGGAGGCTGAGCATCAGCAAGTGGTACTGGCTGGCCTTAAAGGAATGGTTTCTATCCCTTGTATCACTTTCCAGAAGAATTTATTCACAAACATGGTAAGAATTTTCACGTATTTCACGTTCTCTTTCCCTGCTGCCATAACACCTTCTGCAAAGGAACTGCTGTGTACACTGCTGAACAGGTTGGAACAGACACACTCTGTTAGGGTCATCTGTTCCCCAAGTGAAGGTCATATTACTCTATAGTTACATAAATAAGTGGCTTCAGTGGGTATTTTCAGAACAGATATGCAAATGGGACTGGCCAAAGGGTACCCTGTAACTCAAACCTTGATGAATCTGTTAAGGTAATGAATGTTTAATTCAAAAACAGAGACATTAGAGAAAAACTTTCTGTTCAATGACATCAGTATAAACCTTTCTCTATTTTAGAACTGTTGCATATATACTATACACACACACACACACACACACACACACACACACACACGATGATAGTGGGACAACATGTACGTTAAGTGTAATACTTAGTACGGTACATGACAGATGTACAATGTTAACTGAAGAACAGTAAATAAATATGAAGGTAGAATAAAGTTGAATCAAAAAGGAAAAGTGATCTAATCATTTCAAATTTTAGGCATGAAGTTAAAATGCGCACAAAAATAAAATCTTATTATGAGGGTAAAACAGATAAGGTTTCTAGAAGTTCACAGTATGTCTTGGTCTTAAGATTTGTATTTTTAAGAAATTCCATAAGAGGTAGATGAAGTAAAGAACAGAAATCCCGAATATCTATACCTTCCACATATATACTTTGTAAGGTACTAACTATATATTGTTTAAGGATCAATGTATAAACCTGAGATTACACTATAAATAGGAGATCTCATGTATCTCGGAGGATTTTTTTTTTTTTTTTAAAAATGTACTTAGTGCAGGCTCTACAGGGTCTCACTACACAGACTGGACTTGAAGTGATCCTCCTAGTTTCAGCCTCCCAAGTGCTGGGTTTCCAGGCGCGCTCCACAGTGACCCACCACAGTCGCATCCATCTCAGACCAATCTCAGCGCCCCATGGCAGGGCTGCACAGCACAAGGGGAACGAACTTAAAAAAAAAGATCTAAAAGCTGCTCTTTCACTCTTAAAAGTGTTAACTGCAAAATTATCAGTATTATATTATTGATTACCGATATATGCTACGATCAAGAGCATTTGAAGTGATGAAGACACAGTGATAAGTGAGATGAAGTCTCTGATCTCAAAGGCATTTACTCAGAAAATTCAAAAGACTAAAATAAATGGTGGTTCAATAATAGACAATAATCAGGTAAACTCAGGACATTCACCCACAGGAGAACAGATACAAGAATCCAATTAGTTGTTTATAAAATTTGGTAGAAGCCAGGCGTGGAGGCACACAAAGTCAAGCTTAAGCTGGGGAATTCAGCAAGACCCTGTCTCAAAATTGAAAAATAAATAAGTAAATAAGTACATAAATAAAATTAAAAGGGTTAGTGATGCAGCTCAGTGAAAGGTTCTTGGTTCAATCCTTAGAACTACCAAAAGGAAAAAATAATTGTTTTGGGAGACTATTATATCTTGATATAGGAAATTATTCAAGATATTTTCCTAAGTGAAATCCTTACGTGTAAGATTTCATTTAGGGTGAAGAGAACAGCACACACTTTTTCTACAATGTAATGTCTAAAAGGATATATTCATAAATTAATCATTTGTAAATTCTGGGGAATGGAGATATGTATACCTATTTATTCTCTGCAGTCTTTAAAAAACTGATTATATATTCCTTTATAAATTAAAAATAACAAAAGTAACTCAAACTTTCGATACAGAATTCAGTTTGCTACACTAAGTAAACCAAAGATTTGTACTGCCAAATGAAAAGGCAAGCAAAAAAATTCTACAACTCAACTTGGAAAAAAATTTCAGTTCCAAATTTCTTTTCTCTATACTCAAATTCTTTAGGTTTCATCTTGTACTACTAGGTCAAAAGTTCCAAAAAAAATTTTCATTAGTTATTGAATAGCATAAATAACTAGAGGAATAAATGACAGTTAAAACTATCTTATAAAGAGAAAAAAAAATTCTGCTTTCTATTCCACTCAATTCTGCATCCTTTAAAAAACAAAATATCATACAGAAATATGAGCAAGAGAATGCCAAGATACTTACAGTAAAAACCAACAGCTGTATGCAGCAAAAATAAAGCAAAATCATAAAAAAGTCAGCAATAAAAAACTATTCAAGAGATCTGCAGTTCAATAGTTTTGCTGTTATTCTGATTTAATAACTTTAAACATGCAGAATAAACACTGGTGTGCTCAAAACTAACATTAAAGTTAGCTGACATAAATACTTCAATGCATGTGTATAAAATGTATAGCTAATTTCATGCTGTTATTTATAAAGAGCTAAATTTGAAACTGGTAGTATTTTTTCAATATAAATAAATAACACCACCTCTAGATAGATGGCCTTTTACATACACATCTAGGGGTTGAAAAAAATGTGATTTATAAATTAAGTACCTATGCCATGTGTGTTCATCTATATTACTGATACAAGTCTATGTTGCAGACTGAGCCATATCAGACTTTCTCAGAACACATTTTTTTTTTTTTTTGAAAGCATCTTCAGTCCTATTAAGTTTTTAAGGAGAGAATTATGCAATCAATCTTGGGTAACAAAATCAAGATGGGTAACATCTCTTCTCTGCTGCTTTGCATTTTTGCCCCACGAGGCTTAACAATGTCTAAATTTTAATAATTTCAACCTTTTTCTGTTGTTTCCCCAGTGCTCTCTCCTTTTCCTGACCACTTCATTCTTTATTCTCTCAGCCCTGCTTTCAACATATGCCTGTGGCAACAATACAGCCATAAAATTCAGTAAACCTATAACTGTATGTCCCCAAATACCTGTCTTAACAAATGCATCTTTAGCTTGTGAAAATACTGTACTCATGAATATCCTATATAGTGTAAGAAGTACCACTGTTGAACACATACACACACATAGAAATAAATTTTTATTCTACCACATGATGAACCATGTAAGACTATGAAAATGTGTTGGGAACTTCTAAAAAATGACACGGTAATTGCAGCACAGGGAGCTTGGGCTTCCCGGCAGAGTAACATTTTGAGTTCAGCACGGGTAAGTACGAAAGATCACTGGACATATGGGAAGAGAACCCTACAGGTGGCAAACAACATGGGCCAATGGTTTGGAGGGTTCATGCTACTGAAAACAGGGTAAGTTAGAAAGGGGAGAATGTTCAGAGGCAAGGAAAGAGATGCATCCCAGCAATGCTTCCTCACCCCAGAAGTGGCATTATTTGCTTGACAGCAAACCCAGTCTATAGTTTTCCTACCTGTGGCACTTAACGCTTGCTTTAAAAAAAAAAAAAAAAAAAAAAACAACAACAAAACCTGTATCAGGCAAATAATTAACTTTAATATGTGGGTAATAATCTTTATATTAACTTCTGATAAAGCAACTCAAGTGATTTGTCTGATGTCTGCAGTCTAATACAGAAACTGCCAAAAATTTCTAAGCGAAGTAATGATTCATTAAAATTTCTTTCCTAGAAAGAAAACTGGTAGCCACACCAGTGGGATGTGCAAAAGCACAGCACTGGTTTAGCCATCGCTCTACTGGCTAGGGGGTAATTACAGTAAGAAGGAAGAACAATGCACGAAATGACCTTTCCTGAGCCATGTATGCAATGTTCTGACATTTCAAGTGGCTGTGGTAAAGCAAACTTTATTATCATACCAATACTTTTTTTCCCTAATACTAAGATTTATGTAACTGAGTTTCCTTTTCATAGTCATGCTGAATGCTCATCCTTGTGGAAGCATAATAAAATGACAAAATAACTTTCAGTGTTGAGACAAAATTCAGTGCTTTATGAAAATTATTAAGAGGGCCAGGGATATAGCTCAGCAGCACAGTGCCCACCTGGCAAGTGTGAGGTCCTAAATTCAATTCCCAGTGCCAAAAAAAGAGAAGAAAATTACTACGTGATGTTTATATATCTTTTTTTTTTTTTTTTTTTCGGAACCGGGGATTAAACTCAGGCCCTTGTGCTTGCCAGGGAAGCACTTATTCTACTGAGTCATCCCCAGACCCCAAAGTTTATATATTCCAGAGAAAATAAGTGAGGCTGGATTAGATTAAGATAATCTACCTCATTCTTTTCCACATCCTGGTTAACATATTCTTTGACTAAGAAATATCTCTGCTTGAATTCACCTGTTCAGATAACCAGTACTGAAAGACACCTAAATCTGTAGTCAAAGTCCTTTATAAATAATCATTTGTTTCATTTCAGAGGAAGTATTATTCAGTGTAGGCAAGAAGACAGGGTCTTTGTGTCAGCTGGTTACATGAAGTCAAAATCCAGAAGTCAGAGCAGTCAAAATCTAGAAGTGAGAGGCTGCAAGCAACTCAAGGGGTACTCTAGGACTTGCTGTAGGAAGTATGTCCATTACCTGCCTTATAGGCACAATGTGACTGCGTGATCTGACATACCAACATTACCTGAAGGGTTTGAAAAGTCCAACATACTGGTGGTTGGCTGTAGGAGATCAGGACTGCTGGATGAGAGAGTCCCAGGAATCGGCATTATAGCCAGGCTGTGTCTACAATGTCTCGTTCCCACAATGCTGTCATCCTGTGACTGGCTCAGTCCTCCATCGCTTCAAAGGAATGCCAGAGGTCACATGAAAGGTTAGAGGGCATTCAATAGAAAACAGCTCTATACTCCCTGTACTAAGGCATAACACAGCCAATTCTAAGTGAAATAAACAACTGGATTACAATTTTAACTATAATAATGAAGATAGCAGTAAGATATTTTTAACACATTCAAATAAAATTTAATTTATACATATTCCATTACTTCATATGGAAAAGTCATGTTTAGTTTTACTGTTTTTATTAAAGAAGTGAAACCTAATTGTCTAGGGAGACCTTAACATTACCCCGCCACAGCAGGCACCGGTATCCACACCACTGCACACAGCAACCCTGAGAGAAGCACCTTCTACCTCACATGTCAGACCATCTCCCACACAGCAAAATCAGAGCGAAGGCAAGCCAGGAGTCATTTCCCCTATGACCTCAAAAGCCGGCACTACTTGAATGGTCTTATTTAAGCAAACAAAGATTCCTCCTGTGAAGTATTTTAGAAGTCTCACACAGCAATACTGAATCCATCTTAAAGAAATGGGTGGGGTATAGCTCAGTGGTACAGTGTCTGCCTTGTAAGCACAAGGTCCCGAGTTTGATTCCTTGTGCCAAAACAAACAAACAAAAAAACCCACCAAAACACATCACTATCACTTAAGTTTTATATAGCCCCCAGTAATACTTTAACTAACTTTATAGTGCAACAGTTATTAAAAAACAGGGCAGCAATACAAAAGGTTCCTATCAGTATCAATAACCAAAATACTAACTTGTAAAGGTTGTCTTTACACTGAATCAATGCTTTCTGTTATACTAATTCCCATCTAAATTTTATTCAATGCAGCACTCTGCCCAATACTTGCTTAAAATACAAAGAGGTATCACAGAAAACTTATCTATTATGACAAAAAGAATTAAGTTAGTCTTAAACCTGAGTGAAAAGGGATACATTTAGACTAGGTCAGAAGGAAAATATAGGAATTAGGCAGATTAGGAAGTGGTTCAAGATGGAGAATTCAGGGTTAAATACACAGCTAATGCCTGTTAATAGAGAGAGCCAGCACAAGAGCTGAGGAGCAAGGCAGAAGCGTGAAGGCGGTGATGAAAGTGAAGATTCATGACGTATAAACAAGGTGTAATGCCAGGCAGGCTGGGTTATTATCATTAGTTCTTTGACCACAGGCCAATTTCTGTCACTGGATCTTGGCTTTCCTAATTTATAAATGTGAACAATATAATGCTATTTATATATACCCCAAGACTAGTGTATGGATTAAATTAGGTGAAGAGGGTGAATATTTTGGCAGAGGAAAACAGGATTACTAGTTTTGTTTTCTAACAGTAGGAAAGTTTTATTAAAGTGGGAAAAGAAACAGGCTCTGTAGAGTGATTTTAGGCCAAATGAAAGTGGAAGAGAAATATAGCCTACAACCAGAAGGCAGGCACAATAGCCCAATTCCTACTTTCAATGAGTGAAACACATTTTATCAAAATGAGAATAGTACAAACATAGAAAGAAGAAATACTTATTTTAATTAATTTACATTAAAAAACAGAGGGATAGTATAGTTATAACAAAGGTATTGCAGAAACAAAGAATTTATTACCAGACACCAAAGGCAAACATAAGGCAAAAGAAACATTTTGTTTGGGCTTACTATAAACTGGTTCCTAACATCTAGATTTGCATTCTTAGTTATTACAGTTTAATTTTTTTTTAGCTACCAGGAAAAAGGGAGGAAATTTTCATTAAAAAAAAAAATACATACACAGGGCTGGCAAGATAGCTCAGCAGACTAACCACCTGTTTAGGCAAGTGCAGGGACCGGGATTCAATCCCTGGCACCACAGGTGACACTGTCCCATCTCCAGGCCTGCTGAGCTGGTGAGTAAGACCAGGCGACCACGCGCACACCCGTAATCCCAGCACTGGGGAGGCTGAAGACAAAACAATCACTATGAGTCCGATCTGCATAGTGAGACCCTGTACCAAATACATAAAAAAGTTTTCCTATCTATCTATCTATCTATCTATCTATCTATCTATCTATCTATCTATCTTTGATTGCGTGAGACAGAGGATCACTATGCAGCTCAGGATGGCCCTGAACTCATGATGGAGCCCAGGCTGGCCCCTCAGAGCGGCTCAGTCTTTCCAGTCCGGAGATTCTAGGTGTGCATATCTTGCCTGGTGAGTTTTCAATGAAAAGAAATTAGTTGCATCAGTTCCAACAAGGAAGAGCTAAACCTACAGCTTTATAACTTCTAACTTCTTTTTTACTTTAATTTTCAGGAATATTTTTTTCATTTTTAAAATATGTCACAGTTTAAGATTTTGGATTTTTTTTGTAGTACTGGGAATTGAACATTTTTTTTTATCTCTTATTGATGCTATTTAACATTAACTCTGCTTTTTAAATTAACAGACATGATATCATACAACTATAATCATGTAGAGCCAGTTATAAATTCATGGTTAATTCAGGTCCGAACATGTGCATATAAAAGTTATACTGCCATATACAACTCATGCCATGACTGGACTGAAACAATATTTAACTGGCAAAATAGTCATGCTCAACGCTGAACTCATAAAGCCTATCTGGCAAATCATGTAATTTCTCACCCTAAAAGTCTCCTGAAATGTGATGCAATAACAGAAACAAGACATTTGAAAAATTCCTTGATAATTCTAAACTTACTCAGAATAAAAGCTCCATATTGTGTAACTAAAAATGTCACAAATATAGTACTAATGAGAATAAAAAATAACCTCAATGTTAAAAGCAAACAAAAATACTGTCAAGAAATTTGAAAGAAAAAAAAAATATTCCTGACAAGCAAGCAAAGCAATCTGCATCTGGGAATGTTACAATAAAAAGTACAAAGGTATCACACAGGTGGATTAAAGAAACAAAATAAAAGTGATTTAAGAAGAGGAAATCAGATTGCCTAAACTGTGAAATATTCTTGTCAATAAAAACCACACTGCTATGCCAAAATTTATAGATGTTCTTTAAATCAGTAATTTTTTTTACTTTGAGATTGAACCTATGGTCCCATGCCTATGAGGCAAGTGCTCTACATTAGCTATAACTCCACTTTAATAACTTCTTTTTCACATTAATTTTATATTCTTTCATCTTAAAAGTATGGAATGGTTTAGGGTTTTGGATATTTGTTGTTGTTGTCATTGTTGCACTGTGGATTAAACCTAGTGCCTTCATACTGAACTACATTCCCAGCCTTTAAGTTTTTCTTTTTTTGAGACAGGGTCTCACCAAATTATTAGTTGGTTCAGGCTAAGCTTGAACTTGTAACCCTCCTGCTTCAGCCTCTTACTACTTGAGGTGTTATTCCCTATTTTTAAGAACTGACTGCTGCTAAAGGAAGAAACCAAGTACCATCTCTTTTAAGGGCTCCTTGGCACACAGGATATACTCAAGATATTTCAAAATTAAGTAATTAATTTTTTTTTTTTTTTTTTTTTTTTTTTTTTTTTTTTTTTTTTTTTTTTTGTAGAACCGGGGATTGAACTCAAGTCCTTGTGCTTGCCAGGGAAGCACTTATTCCACTGAGCCATCTCCCTGGCCCCAAGGGGGGCCGCTTTTAAAGCTCTGAATAACATGCTGCTTTATAGACAGCCAGGTACTATGACCTGGGTCTCTAGTTCCATTATCCAGAGGCTAATGCAAGAAGATCACTTGAGCCTAGGAATTGTCAAAACTTCATTAACAAGACAAAACAAATAAAAAATAAAAACATTTATAGAGAGATTCTACCACTTTATATTAGCATAGCAGTCTGAACTAGCTACTTTTCATTCCCCCAACTCTGGCACTACTCTTTGTAAATCTTTGATGAAACAGTGTTCTGTCTTAAGTCATATATCCTTGCCAAGTACCAACATGGATCCTTTGAATTCATATTCTGTTTTTCCACTGAAGTTTTAGTGATTTTCTTTTCTTCTAATTGGTTTGGTTTTTAAGACCTCTTTTATAAAAAGGACAGTATATATCTTTGTTCTTAAAAGAATTATCTCAATAAGGGAGTGGCTATACTTCAAGTATTTTATATGCATGCATGAAAAGGCCACAATGAAACTCTATTCTGTATATTTAATATACACTAATAAAAATGTATACGGAAAATCTGTTTTGAGTTCACTTCAAATGATTAAGTGCCAAGAAAAGTACACTCGTTTACAAAAATGCAAAATGGCCAATCTGACAAATAAAAAACAAATCAGCTCTTCTCACAAAAGATGTTCTAGATGACTTTATGAATTCTAATAAAATATTCTGGGTTTTTGTTTGTATTTATGCTAAAATTATTAGTATCTTACTTTCAACGAAATATGTTTAGAAGAAACCTTCACGGTATATGAACTTCTAAAGTGCAACACATTTCATTCATGTTTTTACTCTAGCCAATATGCTAGCACAAAACAAAAAATTCAATAAATGCTTACTTATTTATAAATGAAAATATTCCCTTGTAGTTGAAGTAAAAATTTTCCCACTACATCTTTCTATCAATATAAAATGATAATGTGGAAAATACTGTACTGACTGCTCCTGGAGAACTCAGTTTCTACGTCTCTTGTTGCAAGCAAAAACAGAATCCATGTATAGTAACTAATTCTCATGCCCCAAGGATAATGGTGGAGGTGAGATATTCAGTGTCCTGAAACTTGAGGGTAGCTGGCTAAGATGAGGGGCTTGCAGTGTTCTCTGGAGTTAGATGTTCTAACTGTGCCACCAGTCCACTCCAGACCCAACCCATCAGAGTTTCTGGAACTCCAACTCAGGACAATCGTTCCCAAGGAACTCTCTTCAGCTTTTGGATCACTCAGTTTTTTCCCTCTCAGTGACTTCTGATCATTTCAAACTGTTTCTGTCTCTTTAGTATTGGTCAGTTCATTCTCCTTGCTTTGTTCCTATTTGTGAGAAAAAGAGTTTTCTTATAGTAATTGCTATATAATATTAAAGGATATTTTTAAAAAATTAGTTTTTGGAGATGGGGGTCTTACAATGTAGTTGACTGGCCTTGAACTCACCACAATCCTCTTACCTCAGCCTCCTGAATGCTTACGTTACAAGTATGTGCCATTATGGCTGGCTGATTTTGATATTTTAAACCAATTACCTTAAGAACATCAGTCATTCAGAAAGGAATGAGTAAAAAATTTTCTAGAAATAAGTGTGATTAGGAACACAGCTCAGGATGTTTCAATCCTTCCAAGTATCAAATTAAGTGAAGAGCAAATTATTTCTCTGATTGGAAATAAGAACTCATGAAGAAGATTTCCTGATTTGGATATCTGAGATTTTCATTGAAAAAAATATGGAAAATTGTGTTTGTTTGAATATGCTTTTCTTTCACTTATTAACATGTCTTAACTTACTGAACAAGTATTAACTAGATGCCTATCCTGTGCTAGTTATTGTACTTGATTAGAAATTTTATGACTGGCTTAGAAAACGGATAACATAAAATACACACCAGTAATATGTACTAGAATAATATACTAAACTAATACTAGAGTCACTTCCAATCAAGTTGCTTCAGTAGGTTGATTTAATCTGTTATTTTACAGAGCTCAATTTATATTTAAAATCTCTAGCTATTACTCAGTTTGGTGGCATCTCAGTTTTGAAATAAAAAGCAGGTTTGAGTGCATGCCTGTACTCTCAGCATCTGGGGAGGCTGAAGCTGGAGATCACCCGGTCTTAGCAACTTAGTGAGACCTTGTCTCAAAATACATTAAAAAAGGCTTGGGTATATAGTTTCATACAGAGGTCCTAGTTCAAACCCCCTGTAACACACACATATACATACCACATACAGATTTGATCAGAAAGTTCAATTTTAGAATTCATGAGAGAATAAACTGTCTAAAAAGGAAGACTTTTCTTTGGGGCGGTGGGGGGGAAGTGCAAAAACTGAACTTGGGCCTTTACAGTGAGCTAAATCCTTAAACTCCTTCATTCTCTTTTTAGTTTTGAGGCAGGGTTTTATTAAATCACACAGGCTGAATTCAGACTTGGTATCTGCCTGCATTAGCCTCACAGAGTACTGAGATTACAGCTATGCACCACAATGCCAAGCTAGGAGAGATGATGTTTACTAAAGAACTGGGAATGGCCAATGTGTTCCAACATTTAAACTGTCCAAATTTCTAAATCAGGGGATTGAAAACTGATCTGACCAGGCATGGTATGCATGCCTGGAATTGCAGTATTCAGAAGGCTCTAGGCAGGAAGAGTGCCAAGAGTTTGAGACTAGCCTGACCTACACAGCTGAAGCATTTCTCAAAGAATCAAAAAAACAAAAACAAACCACACCAAAAGACAAAAAACCTAAAACCAAAAAAACCCTCAAATCCCCAAAAAACTCAAAAGTGATCCACACATCCTCTCCCCACAACAAAAAAGTGTAATCCTACATGACTGAGACTGACATTAACCTACCTAAACAGTTTTGGAGGTAAGATACTAAACCGTGTTTTATCCAAAATTTTCCTGATTTTGTTTCTTCCACCCGAAACAGTATTTGCTTTAACTTTCTTATGTCCTTTCTCCTGTGATGTCTGCTCAATATCTCCTGGTACATCTTGGATTGAGTGACGATTACTTTTTTTTTCAGCAATTTTGGGAATATGAGGAACACCAGATTTCTCTTGTTCGGTCCTACTAAGCAGCTCTTTGAAAACTGTGGAAATAAACAAACATCATTTTTTTTTCTCACTAGAAAGTTTTAACACCAAATTTTAAGGATAAACACAATCTATTTCTAGTATTTGGCCTTTTGTAGTCCTATTTAAATCATGATCAAGGAGGCCTGCCGGTTAGCTCAGTTGTTTAAGTACCTGCTCATGCAAACACAGTCAGGCACAGGATACCAAGGTTGATCCCCACCTCTACCTGCCTTAGCAGACTCGCCTTAAGGCAGCCTGAGCCAGAAAAATAAATAAATAAATAAATAATCCATCCTTCTAAATCGTGATAAAATGACATGATCAAAATTATACTCATCCTTTATCAGCTGTATCTACTCTTCAGTTTTTCCGCCAGACTGTACTTGTGATGTTATGCAACGGTTACTCCAAGTACAAAAAATGATTTTAGTTTTTGTTTTGGTAATAAAAGAAAGCATGTGTTTCTCACAAGCTCAAAGACAAGTGAGATTGAAATGAACAAAGCCTTAAGAATAAGTTACAGTATTAATAGCTTGGAATTCAGTTGTAAAATCTGTACTGTTTTGAGGCTCGCTCTTTACAATTAGCACATTGCCTGTTCCTATGAATGGGATTTAGTGTGGCATTTCCATACATGCACACAGCATGCGGTCATCATATGTGATAACTCTTTTCCCCACCTCTTGCTACCCTCTACTTCTGCCCTCACTCTCTTCTGGTTGCTAGTAATCACTACCTTCAGGTTCATTTCTTTTTTGGTTTCCACAAATCACAATATACTCATCTTTCTGTGTTTAGCTTATTTTCCTTAACACAATGTCCTTCAATTTTATCTATTCTGCTGAAATGACAGAATTTCTCTTTATGGCTGAATACTACTTCATTGTGTAAATGAACCATATTTTCTTCATCCATTTATTCACTGATGGATCGTGAATATTGCTACAATAAACATAGGCATTCTGTTATCTCTTTTAGATGATTTCATTTCCTTCAGAATAAATACCCAGTTAGATCATACTATAGTCCTAACTTTAGGGTTTATTTTGTTTTTCCAGATAGTCTCTCACTATGTATGTAATTCAGATTGGCCTTGAGCTCACTGGGCAGCCTTTGCTGGCCTTGAACTCTGAGTGATCTCCCTGCCTCAGATTCATGAAAGCTGAAACCACAAGTGTGTACTATGGTTCCCAACTCTAGTTAAGTTTCTTTGGGAACCTCCTCGATGTTCTCCATAGTGGCTATCTTACCAACCATGTACAAGACTTTCTTCTTCTCCATATCCTCACTAGCACTTAGTTCTGTTTTCTTAAGAACAACCATTCTAACTGGAATAGAACTACAATCTCAATGCAGTTTTGAATTCCATTTCTCTTAGTGGCCTTTATATATACTTACTGACCATAATCAAAGTACAGTACCCACTGACAAAAAGCATATTTTCTGCCTTCAAAATAATGGAGATATTTAGGAGTCTTCTTTCGAAGAACTTTCTTGATTTAAATTCAGTTCAGTTCCTTTAGTTTCTATTTTTAAACCTTTATTTTCAAGCTAAAAATCAAGACATTCATCCATTTGAGAAATATTTACTGATCTACGTCAGCACACTATACTAGGTTTTTTTTTTTCATATTTCTCTAGTTGCAGAGCTTACTACTGTCAGTCTAAAGCTCTTGTTAAAGAAAGAACATCTCAGAGAAATACTTAAGACAGTAAGAAGAAATCTTCCTTAACTAAGCCACTTTGTAGGAAAAAGAAAGATTTTTAACCAGGTAAAGAGAAGAGGCAAGGAATCGTTCTATGTAGAGGAAAATCTCAAGTTCAGTCTCTGTGGTACAAGGAAAGCTCAAGAAAATGAAAATGACTAGAGAACAAGGTACAGAAGTGGCCAGATAACAGTTTTTATCTTCATTGGATCTGTGTACATAATTATAAGTAAAAGTTTGGGGAATTTCTGATTTACAGATAAAGAAAGGATTTGTTAAAATTTTAAAGTACTAAAGAAAAAATTAAAGGATAGAGGGCAAAGTACTTAACATACTATTATACAGCAATATCACATGTTGCATATATTTCACAAATGAAGATGCACAAGAATTCATGAAAGTTTAAAAAATTTGGCCACATGAAAATTAAAAAATCTCTCTCTACATGTGTGTGTATATACAGAAAATAAGGCAGCAAAAATACTAACTTGAGGGAAATATCTGCAACTTTTAAACAAAAAGACTGTCCTTTATTTACAAGGTGCTAAAACAAATCAGAAAAAGATAGGTTACTCAATACAAGAAAGCCTTTTAGAAATTTTAAAGCACACAAAAAGGTGCTCAATCTCACTCAGTAAAAAATGTGCATCAATAAAGCTGATTAACGCACTTCAGGGGGATTGTTACACAAGATAATAAAGTGGAGATTGGGATAAACTTTCAGAAGTATATTCTATTAGCACATGTCAAAAGTGATTCCATTTTGAGAAATTTATCTCATAGATATATTCATATAAACATAAAGGACAAGTAGAAAAGATTTCTATTATGTAACTGTTACCTGTGAAAACTAGAAATAATTTAAAATGTCCATTAATATGACATGGCTCAATAAATAATAGAGCAAGAGATAAACCTGTAGGAATTGATGTGAAAGGTACAGGAAGTATATGGTGCAGTCCCATTGTATATCTTTCTTCAGTATTTTAATTTTCAGAATGTATGCACATCATTTTTATTAAAATTTAAAACGATAGGGACCAGCCAAATAGCTCAAGCACCTGCAAGTAGATGCAGAGGCTAGGGGTTCAATCTCTGGGCCTGCCTTGCTGGCCTCACTCCCAGGGTGTGCTGAAGTGGCGATTAAGACTGGGTGTGGTGGCATGCACCTGTAATCCCAGCTCTTGGGAAGCTGTAAACAGGTGGATCACTACAAGTTCAATCTAGTAGTGAGACCCTGAACATCTTGTAGACGTTTCCCTAAAATTAAAAAAAAAAAAAAGATAATAATTTGAGTAGTAGGATGTCTAATAAACAGTATTAGAAAGTTGTGAAATAAAGAACAGGGAAACTAAAATTCCATAGTGGCAAAAGGGTGAATTTTCTTCTTCAAGTGCATTTGCTTAATCTAACCATGAGGTGAGGTGCAGGCAGAGGAAAGAGGGGAAAAAATGCTTTGGATGGTTGTTAGGATCGGCATAAAAACTAGAAACTCAAAAGCAGCAACAACAGTCTCAGGAATGGGAAAGGCTTTAACATATCCATTTTCCTTTTCCCTACGTGTCTATAAGTTTTTTAAGATCTAGGGGCTTAGGTCATGGATCTTTTATCAGGGGCCACATCCTTCTTCTACTCAAGTGGTCTCTGCTACTATTTCCTACGTATTGTCTTTTCTTTTTTCTTTTTTTTCGGAATCGAGGATTGAACTCAGGCCCTTGTGCTTGCCAGGGAAGCGCTTATTCCAGTGAGCCATCTCCCCGGCCCTTCCTAAGTATTTTCTGAAAAAATGTATTTGCATATGTACTGTAAGATCTCTTAATGCTCAATTTTGTCTTTTTGTTCTACAGTTTGAGGGTCCTTTCAAGAGAACCTTGCAAGAACCATAGGAAACAGAACTGGAGAAAATGAAGCAGAGACTAAGCAGTCCAAGGTGACATTGGAGATTAATTGAACCTTATAACTGATTACTTTGGGCGGGCATCCTTGGACCCAAAGAGCGTTCAGCATCATCTTCAACACTCCCTGCCCTTTATGAGACAGGGTCTTGTTCAGATGCCCAGGTTTGCTTGAACTTGCAACCTTCATTCCTCAGTCTCCTGACTCTGACCAGTAGGAACTGCAGGCATGCTCCACCACACCTGGCTACATGGAACCCTTCTACTGAATGCTTGTGTTATACTGTAATTTATGTAATTACAGTAATTTATCTACTGTGATTTATGTCACTCTAAGAGTTGATTCTTTGTTGTTGTTGTTTTCCCCTAACATGCAGTTCTTGGTTGCTCCAAGGAAAACAGTTTGCATCATTGTGGTCAGGAAGTAGTCTCACAGAATTTTTAAATTGCTGTATGCACAGTGTGGGAACTCTTTTCTGTCTTTCTTACATTATTTTTTCCAGGATTTGTAAGATAACTGATTATGTCCCCAACCATGCCCTCTCAATGCTGGTTCCTTAATATTTGGTGATCCTAGGTTGAGCTCAAAGTAATATAAAATGATCAAGTATGGCTTCCTCTAGTAACCTGTACATTTCCTGGGCACAGCGTCTCCCCTCCCACTTTTACAACATTTTGCCTGCAAGGCTTTACACTGGATGACCTCAACTTGACTTCATGGTAATGCCAGAGTTATGAAGCTTTTATTGTCAGCATCATGTCTAAGCTAAAATATTCCACTTCTTTTTTTGGGTGGAACTAGGGGCTGAACTCAGGCCTTTGGGCTTGCCAGGGAAGTGCTTATTCCACTAAGTCATCTCCCTGGCTAAAATATTCCATATCTATAAGTATTTTACAATATTTCTTTGAGACATTCTGGTGTTTTGCTTGGCTGAGTATTCTACCTGGGGAAAAAAGGACTGGCATCTTCCTCCTTTTGCAGCATCATGAAACTCTTACCCTCTGCCACACCCAGCCTAAGGTTCTTGGGGATAACTGTATACTCACCACTCAATTCCAAGGGCTTGGCTTCCTGTCTTTCAAATCCTTAAGATCTATGTCTCCTGTCTTTCACTGTAGCACACATTATGGTATCTGTATATTTATACATAATTCTGATATCAAGAATCATGTGATGTGGACAAAGAACTAAAGGGAGGATTCTTGCAAGAGACCCTTACAAGAGAACTCCCTGAAACAGATGCAGAGAAAAATGAAGCTTGGAGAGACTAGTTCCTCCAAGGTAATCGGACAGCTCTGCTTTTATATATTTCAAAATTGGTACTCTTCTAGTTTAATGTACAGGTTCATGCTTCTAGACACTAGGCCAAGCTCCTGGAACCCCAAGAACTGTGAAGGCTTGCTTTTTTATGCTAAGTTATTAGTGAGGAAACTGTCAACAGACATTTATATGCAGATTTAACATGATGAAATTCAGTAAAAGGGACTCAAAAAGAGGAAAAGTACCACGTGTTTCATTTTTCATTATGACTAAGCACAGTATAAAGAGTCAGTGTGAAAAACCGAAACTCACACTTCCTTCCTAAGGCAGTTTTTAAAGTCAATTCAAACTCCCCTATTTGGAACCTAAATAACTTAAGAGCACTCCCCGCCCAAACCAATTGCTACTTCAAAACAACATTTAAATTTTGTTTGACAGTTTTCAACTAACATATTTTAATTCTGTTGCCCTTCTCAGAATTTCAACAAAACCCCTATGGTGTCCAATGAAACCAAGAAACAATAAATATTTCCTAAAAGTTAAAAAAAAGATTTAATTACAAGTACAACCTTAATATATGTGTTTTCATACACAAATATGATAAAATCACAAAGCAGACAGTGTAGTACAAATTTTACATAGAAAGGTGGAGTTTACTATTATTAGAAATCTTTGATTCATTAATTAAAGTAATGACTTATTTTCTTATAGTTTCATAATTAAAGTTAGTTCAAAGGTTAGAAGTAGACTGATTTTCACATTAGCAGAGAGGAAAGAACCTAAATATGACTTCTAAGTTTGAATGAAGTCATTTTAAATTTTATTCAAGAACTCTCCAGTTGAGGAGGGTTCCAGCTGAGTACCATATAACGCTCATTTCCTACATGATTAAGTGTAGCTGTACATCTATTTTCAAACTTATTTTCTAAGATATTGAAGTAATAAATATAAATCATGGAAAATGAAAATTCTAGTTACTAAACAAAATTATCCTAATAAAACCATACCAGATTTTGACAAAAAACTTTACATTCTATTATTTTTCTTTCACTGTAATGACTTTTTGCTTTCCTATTAGCAAAAAAAGGTAAGGCAATTTTTACAACAAAACTCACCAAAAATGTTGGTCTTCACGGTAAGGGCAAGATGAGTATTATTCCTCAAAATTTCAAGAGCCTTCACAAATGTAATATTCTCAAAATTTTGCCCATTTACTTCCATTATCTTAAAAGTATTTGAAAAATACAAATTAAACTATTATTAGTTTACATCTATAATCTTAAAAGTTTAATAATATACAAATTTTACAAGTAATTAAATGTAAACTTACTGCATTTCAAAGTGAATTAAATAAGCAGCACTCTAAAGTATATTCTATCTATCTATCTATCTATCTATCTATCTATCTATATATATATATTTTTTTAAACATTTATTTATTGGGTGGGGGGGTGGCCAGCTCAGCCCACCAGGGGGCGCGGCTGGCTGGCATGTGGTGCTGGGGGATCGAACCGCGGTCCCTGTGCTTTGCTTAGCTTAGTTTGTTCCAAGTAGGTGCTTTAGACCACTGAGCCATCTCTCCAGCCCAATATTCAATATATTTTGCTGCCACTAATTGAATCAGGAGTCAAACAACAAGAAACAGAAATGAGATGGGCTTCTTTTTCCCATCTGAACACTGCTAATTTTTCAGAGTAGGGACTTCACAATTTGGATATACATCAAGGGGCTTATTTTTAAAAAATGAGGGGGCTGGGGAGATGGCTCAGTGGAATAAGTGCTTCCTTGGCAAGCACAAGGGTCTGAGTTCAATCCCTGGTTCTGCCAAAAATAAATAAATAAAATAAAATAATTTTTAAAATGAGAGGCTTATTTAAAAAAATTCCAAAGGAAAAAGGACAAAGACAAACATAAGAAAAATAAATAAAGCAGCAAAGAGTGTAGAATTAAAGGAATTCTACAAAATGATACTATAAAAACAATGTTGGGAAAAGAAAAAAAAATTATACAGAAGTAAAATAGCACATCTACATACTAAAATGGCTAATCTAATACGATGATTATAAAGATAAAAGAGAACTATTTTTTAACATATGCTGGGCTGGTGAAATGGCTCAGTGGTCTAAAGCACCTACTTAGAACAAGCTTAGCTAAAGCACAGGGACGGCGGTTCAATCCCCCAGCACCATATGCCAGCCAGCCCCGCCCCCTGGTGGGCTGAGCTGGCCACACACACACACAAATAAAAAAAAAAAACCCAAAAAACATATGCTAAGGAGAGTTCTTAATTCCAAGTACAGAGAATGAAGAATCTATACATAATATACATAATGTTACAGGGGTAGGGGCTGGGGGGTGGGGAAAATCAAAGGTGTGAGAGAAAAGTGAAGACTGATTTTGGACTTCTTTTGGGCAACATTAAGAGGATGTGACACCTTTCTGTAACTTCAGTGCTTTGAGGAAAAATCACAGCTACTAGGGAATTTTATATACAAAATACCTGAACAACAACAAATAATTGTCTACTGATTCTGAGATCCTGGCTGTTAGACATTGCTAACGAGTGGTCTGGGGCAAGGACTAGAAATCTTTAAAACTTCACTGGGGAAAAAAGGGACTTGTGAACTTGTTTACATCAGAGTTTCTTATCTGTTTGTTTGACTGGTATTTTGGGCTAACTACATCTTTCGCTGTGGACGATATGCTGGGCACCACAGGCTGTTCAGCTGCATTCTTAGGCTCTATGCACTGTGTCAGTAATAACCCAGAAATCATGATAATAAAACATACATTCAGTGGCTGAGGGTCTAGCTCAGTAGAGCCTTAACCCAGCATGTGGGATGCCCTGGGTTTGATTCTCAGCACCACAAACACAAACAAATGAATGCACCAATCTGCCTATACCTGGAAACAAACAGATATAGATACAGATAGACTTGTATATCTAGACATTTCCAAATGGCCTTTGGGGCGAGATAACCCATGGGTTATGAATCAATGTTCTGAAGTGCTGCATCTTTCAGAATACAAATATCCTGTAATTTAAGTAAAAAGAATGGCTCTTAAAAGTGAAACAAAGCTATACTTTAAAAATAAATGAATAAACACAGTTCTAAATGGGGAAAATTAAGTTTCCTGATTCTGATGATCCATGAAGTTTTTTTTTTTTTTTTTTTAAATCAGTGAGATTTAGGAAAACACCTTTGGTGTGCATGAGGAGAGAGGTTTGTGGAGAGCTCTGTTAAAAGTACATTCTCCAGCCCTCATCTCTTGAGAATGTGATGATGAATAGGACTGAGATATACCTGGGAATTGTATTTTTTTATGTAACAAGTCAGTAAATCACATTACCTAATCTGATACAAGAAGAACAAATGATCACGAAATTCCTCCCAGTGTCTTATTTTCTCTGGTTCCTTGTCGGTTCACTTTTTTTTATATATCGTTATGGTTCTATATAAACACTAAAAAAAATTATGTAAGCTGATACTACCATTTATGGTAATCTTCAGACATTTATATTTGAAAATGCTATGGATGAGATGGATGTGTCTTCACTTTCAAAACCCTTAAGGATGCTAACTCATACACTGATCTTTGTGGAATATTATGAAATTGCCAGATGATACTTTCCTAATCTTTGCAAATGGGCTGGCCCAAAGGAGGTCATATTGATAGAGTGCAGTGTACCATGTGGTTTCTGGCCAAAATTTCCACTAGGATAACAGTAAAGATCTCACTACAAATTTCATAATGAGTTCCAACCCACTTACTATGTCAGCAATGTATTTTAAAAATAAATCTTATTTAAATAGTACCTATTAAAAAAAGGTTAGAAAAACAGGCCACGCTCATTTGAAGAACTATCAGATGAGGACAAAAGTAGCAGATACAAAGAAAAAATTTTAAGTGGCAGGTTACTTACCTGGTCACCACGTTTCAATCCCGCATCAGCAGCTTTGCTACCAGGTTCTACTCCTTCAACAAAAACACCAAATCCCTTTTCACTTCCCCCGGCGAGGCTGAAATGCAGGGGTGACTCTCGGGAAGCCTTTTGCAACACAACCTGTCTCCACTTAGCTTTTGCAGCACAGGCAATATTCAACAGCCGGAGATGACCATTCATTTTCTGTAAGGTAGCGAAGGATAAAATGTACACAAACCTATTCCTCGAAGCGTCTAAAAAATTTTCTAAGTTACTGGAGTATAGACACAGACTACAGAATATGTGATAAACAAAACTGAGAGGACACTTCCACCCCACAGTACATTCAAGAACAAGACATTTAAATATGTTTGAATACCTTTGGATAAACACAGGTTAGAAAGAATTCAATGTCTCATTTACAGAGGAATAGCAAACATTACTTCTCATTCCCCAAACCTCCTCTCTTATGTCCTGGCTGGTGTACAAAATCAGAATGTTTCTAAACCTTAATTTAAGACCTTTAATGACTTGAATCACTTTTCCAAATCTGAGTTTCAACCTCTTCTACGAAGACGTCTTGTATTATTTTAGCTCTTCCTTAAACTCTGTAACTTTAGGTTCTAGTACCAGGTTATACTCAATTATTCTCAAGTAGTGTAAAATGTAAATTTCATTTCCTTACAATGAAGCTACCCCTCAAAAGACACTAAGTTTTATACTTGTTCTGACTCCACATAACTCCTTGGATTATTAGAATTCAATAAATAACTGATAACTAACTGTTTACTGGCCAAAACATTCTACGACTGTGAGGCAGTTTTCACACTTCAATGTCCCCTAGATGTTTACACAGCCAGCATCAACAGAGCCAAATGATACTAGGTGTCCCTTTATTCAGGTTCCCTGGTCCCTGTCCATTTTCCCCATTGTGCATGGAGCAGATACGACACTCTGCTGAGTAGTCTACAGGAACCAAGGGGTAAAGGAGGAGACAAAATGTGCCTATTTTCTCTTCTTCATTAAACTCAATCCTCTTGAAGCATTTGCTGTTTGTCTTCAGACTGCTAAAATCATTAACTCATTATAATTATCATACACTTTCACTGAACTAGAGGCTATCTTTCAACTAAGATAACTGAGACATAAAAGTCAGGCACCTTATCCAACTCACACGTGTAGCAGTGGTGGCGCTTGATCTTAATATACGCAATGTGACTCCCAAGCTATATTCAAATCACCTTGTTGAATTATTTACATAATTCCTAAATTTCAAATTCGAGGCAGAAACCCACCTGCAGATCAGTTTTACATTTGACAGAGAGAAAGAAAGATTCATGAGTAGCTACTGTGGAAATTAAGAGGACTTTGGGGGAACTGTTTTAGGTGCTATATATTTTTTAAAAAGTGAAATCATACATAGCAAGTAAACCTTTAAAGTCTTAATAATATGTAAAAATGTACATATCTGATATGTAAGATATGCATCCAAAGTTCCACAGTTTCAAATAGTAGGACTGGCACAGAAAACCAGCATGGCTTGAGGTACAGAACTGGCAAAGAATACGCAACAGTATGGTTTGGCTATAAAATAGTGTAGATAAAAAATGCTAAAAATGTATGTGAAGAACATCAATACACAGGAACTTTGGTAGGAATTACAGTTTACAGACAAAGCAATATGCAACATTTACAGTTTTAAGATAATCTCTGGGGCTGGTGAGATGGCTCAGTGGTCTAAAGCACCTACTTAGAACAAGCTAAGCAAAACACAGGGACCGCGGTTCAATCCCCCAGCACCACATGCCAGCCAGCCCCGCCCCCTGGTGGGCTGAGCTGGCCACACACACACACACACACACACACAATAAATAAATATTTTTTAAAAAGATAATCTCTGGATCACACAGAATAGACTAGGAGGAAGACAAACTAGACCTAAGAGCAGTTAGCAGGCTATTTTAACAGATTAGGTATAATGAAATCATAATATCCTAAATTGGGGGTAGAAAAGAAATGGCCGTGAAAGAGAAGCAAACATGTATGTGTGTATATGTATGTACATGCCTAAGTCACTGAGAGGGAGAGTTTCAGAAAATTGAACCACCAAACTTTGGCTACCAAACTCAAGATAAAGGCAGCCCATACACAAGACTAATGCTTGCAAACCTGGAAAAATAAAGAATAACAATGTTATTAGTCTTAAACAGAAATGAAAGAGGAGATTTATCTGGGTTGTAATGGTAAAGAAGTAACCAAAGTCTCTAGGATAGATCTGAAAGCTTTCAGAACGGACATTTCAGACACTGGAAAGATGATGACTGCTGCTCTTCTGAACTGCTATTCTTGCTAAGGGATAAGGAGGCCTCTAAATTCTGAAAAAGATAAACTCTTTTGAGTCTTACCGTATCTTCTAGATTTTTTTCAAATTCTTCTAGAAATCGAGTCATAGCAGGATCACCTTCAAAATCATTAAAATGATTATTTACCCACAATAATACAATCCGTGTCACCTGTGGAAGCAGAGAAGGCAGCATATTAGGTATAGAAATATGAGAGACATTCTTCCACAAAGCCGATTCCAAAAGCTTGTTGAAAACTAAGAAGGAACTGAACTCCATGGCCAGCCCCGCCCCAACAACTCCACTTCCAAAACCAGGCCAGTTCCATTGCTCAGTTTGAAATTCTGCTTCCCTGGAGGAGGACTCTGCACTCCAAAGTAGATACATGCATTTTCCTTTCCAAAGTACACAGGATGACATATCTTTAAAAAAGGCTTTTATTATAAATGCATATTAATGAAAGGACCATCCTAAAGTGTTTCTATAGCCAAGAATATGTTTAACCAATACTGTAACAAAAAAATCTGAAACTCCTTCACAGTAAAACTTGACAAATTTTGAAGTGGTAAACCTGGTCACTTTGTTCTACAATTTTTTTAAAAAAACAGTTAAAGATTAACAAATGAAAGTGCTTTGCAAACATAGTTGTCATTTTAGGTGTTGTCTTGGGTTTCTGAGCTGTTCCTTTGAAGCACAAAAGGTTTTAATTTTGATAAAGTCCTATTTATATTCTTCTTTTGTTATTTGTGCGCTGGGTGTCATATCCGAACAGTAATTGCCAAACTTCAAGTCATGAAGAATTACTCTTTCTTCCACGAATGCCACAGTTTTAGCTTTTATATGTAGGCCTCTAACCCATTTTGTGTAAATTCTTGTAGATGGGTACAAGGGCTGGATTTTATTCTTTTGCGTATGGCTATCCGATTATTGCTACATTTATTCAGTCTCTAAGCATGCCTTTATTTCTCAGCAACTGAAGTAACTATATTTAAGTGCAAAGGGGAATGCCTGTAGCTGTTTCGTTGTTGTTGTAAGGGACTGAACTTGGGACCTTGCACTTGCCAGGCAGGTGCTTATGCCACTGAGCTATCGCCCCGACCATGCCTATAGCTTTTGATACTGTAGTGTTCTAGTTAATAGAATTTCACAATCTACCTGTATCATCATACTTCCTATAAAATGCAAGTCAGAAAGACAGTTGGTAATTGAGATCCTACCTTTTATTTACTTAAACCACCTTATTCCCATTGATCTGCTGAGGTATTAATATTTTGCCCATTAAATATACAAAATACCCCATACAATAAGATAATAATCTATTTAAAACATCAAACAATGTTTAATGAAAAAAATTTTGTAAAGGAAGATTTGACATAGACAAAGGAGAGAACTTGTAGTGTGACACATTGTCTTCAAATGATTATAAAATCTGTTCTTCATAAAACTTAAAATATTCCTTATTCTGAGGTTGAAAATAATTTATCATGCTACTAGTTAGTTAATATTTTGTTAATTTTTTAGAAACAACCCAATATTTTAGTAAAATTACAAAATACTATCACGCAGCTATCGTGTTTCCTACATAGCTATGCCATGGCCTTTACTTTAGTTTTTGCCTTTTAAGACTCATATTTACTTTCACTTGTTTTTATCATGTCCACTTTTAACAGGCTATTCTGTCATAAATGTACGTAAGCAGAGATATATCTACGGTGACATTCATTTTTTAGATGAACTGAATTGTTATTAATCAATCAAGCTGGGAATGGTAGCACAGACCTTCAATCATCAGCATTCAGGAAGCTAAGGCTGGAGGCTCTCCATGAGTCTGAGGCCAGCTTAGACTAGTGAGTTCAAGACCAGCCTAAACTACATTGTGAGACCTTGACTCAAAATCAACCAACTAACCAATCAACCAAAAAAATAAACAAACCTAACAACTGCAAAGATTCTCATTAGTAAAATTTAAATGTTAAAATCACTTTCATGTCCATTATATGTAAACCCCCCAACTAACCTTATCTCTCAAACTGTCAATCTTAAACCATTCCAGTAGCTTGGTTCCAACATTCAAAGGACTTTCAAGAAATGTCCTGTAAGTTAATAGAAAATCTTCTATATAAGTTGGGTCCACAATAGAATGTTCTTCTATTAAATGCATGATGAGACGCTCAGGTGTTGCCTAAAAACACAAAGACAGCATAGATAAGAAAAATAAACAGCTTGGGATTCAAGTAACTCCTCTGTAGATATTCCTTTAAAACTAGAGTTTCACCTTTAGAACCTCAGTACTGGGAGCAGACAGTTTTGTTTAAGTTATACTTCAGTAGCACCCAGAGGTTCAGAGTAACAAATGGGAGAGGAATAAGTACCCAGAAGTATTACTCAGCTACACCTGCTTCCGCTGGCACTTCTGTTAGCCACATACTACAGCTGGGGACGTGGTGATTGTTCAAAACAGAAGGAGGAGTGAGTTAAATAGGGAAGGGAAGGGGAGGGAAGGGAAAAGGGAAGGGAAAGGAAAGGGAAAGGGAAAGGGAAAGGGAAAGGGAAAAGGAAAGGGAAAGGGAAAGGGAAAAGCAAAGCAAAGGAAAGGAAAGGAAAAAAGAAAAAAAAAGATAGGAAACAAGCTTTCTTTCAAATTTAATGCATTTAAATTTTTTTTTTCTGACGGGGTACAGGAAAATATGTCAACTAAGATAGCCAGTTTTACTCCCTCAAATAGATCACTGTATTTCCTTTTCCTTAGTTTTTCCCTGCTGGCTGACCATTTTAGGAGGAACCCAGAGTCCTACAGTTGTTTTTACATTCTCAGTTTAAAATGCCTGTCTGTTGCTCAGTTTATAAAAGGAAATATAAACATTTCCCACTGCTCCTCTTTCAGCTTCTGAATCAATGTCAACATTTACTAGCCTTTTTGTTTTTTCATATATAGCACATATATAGAAGCAAACAACTAAAAATAAAACAGAAAAAGAAACCAGCTGTTAAGCCTGATACAGACACCAACAATTGCCATAACCCAAACTTTAATTTGCTTTTATCTGAAAAATTTGTCACAATTAATTGTAAAGTAAGCATACATTAATGCTAACAATGTCCTAATCTACGAATTTATAAAAAGGTGCTCCCTACTAACAAAGAATGTAAATCTCTCTAGAAGGAAGCCTGAAAGATTTTTCGTATAGCCTACTTAAGTGCCAAGGAGACTATACATTACTGCTCTTCTCCTACCTTCCAAAACATTTTAAGCCTAAGCCTGTGATCTGGATTTATTATCTAAATCATCATTTTGGGTCACTTTGATGTGGTTCTTAGGTCATATACAGCTAAGTCAGGGACAGGAACTAGGCAGCATGAAAAAGAGGCTATCACTCTGCTTGGCTAAATCCATGACGGCCTACACTGGACACTGAAAGCTTTCCACAGATGAGCCTTAGGACCATGCAGGGCATGTCACCAGTGTGGTCACTAGCAGCCAAGAGGTGGAATGCTGGGAGATGGGGCACATATAATAGAAGCAGGCAAAAGAGATGGGTGATATGCTTCCTTGGGCATGGTAGAGACTGATCATAATCAACAAAGTATAACAAGCAACTTCTGAAGAAGATATTTGCAAACAGGAAAAGATTAGAGAAAACTTCTTTAGTAAAGTATTGCAACTGGAAGTACTAGTAGGAACTTATGGTTGCTATACATTGTATTTCCTAGCTGTCTGGTGAAGGGATCTAAAAACAATGTTACAGCAGTAGCAATAAGTATAGTGAGTGTCCAGATCTTGGTACATAAATGCTATTCCTCTGTTGGAAGCAGCTCCTAGAGCAAAGGTGGATCCCAAAGCTAAAGCAGACAAAAAGTTTATGCTGAGCTCTAATACTGGCCAAGGAACAAGAAACACTCAATCAATATCATCAGAAGAATGCAAGAATCAGTTTGAAGATCTCACAGGCCAAATGTCAAACAATTTATTAATTTTTAAAATTTATTTTTAAAAATTTATTCTATATTCTGATACAGGGTCTCACTACACAGTTCAGACTTATAGTGATCCTCTATAGTAGGGTCTGCAGCCAAGTGGATCCATATTAGCAATGTTTACTTCGTGACATGAAGGACCTTACGCTCTTCATTTGGACAGTGTTCTTGAGTGTAGAAAGATATGAAATATGTGAGAGTGCAAAGGTCTCACATCTACAAATCATTATAAAATGACTCTAAGAAGAGGGATGATAATGGAGTAAAGGAAGTGAAATACTGAAAGTAAGGAAGCCAGGCGTGGTGGGCACACTATAATCCCAACACTCAGGAGGACTGCCGTGAGTTTGAGGCCAGCCTGGGTATACAATGAAGTCAAGGCCAGACTGGACTACACAGCCAGGCCCTGTCTCAGAAAACAAAAAAGGCAGGGGAATTTGATTGAGCTGTCTGTAATGTCCCTGCAAATTTCCAGTTCAGTTTGCAATTAAAAAACAAAAAGTCCAGGGCTGGAGAGATGGCTCAGTGGTCTAAAGCACCTACTTGAAACAAGCTTGGCAAAGCACAGGGACCGCGGTTCAATCCCCCAGCACCACATGCCAGCCAGCCCCGCCCCCTGGTGGGCTGAGCTGGCCACACACACACACAATAAATAAATGTAATAAATAAAAATAAATAAATAATTTTAAAAAAATAATTAAAAAAAAACCAAAAAGTTCACACAAAAGATAAAATGAATTGAAAAACAAACAAACAAAAAAAAAAAAAAACAAAAAAACATGCCAGAAGTGGTGCCCAGTACTCAGGAGGCTGAGGCTGGAGGATTCCTATGAATTTCAGGGTAGCCTGGATGACATAGTGAGTACGAGGCCAACCTGTACTACATAGTGAAGCTCTTTCTCAAAAAACCCAAAAGAATCAAAAAGAACAAAATAAAGTGTTAGCCTAAGGTAGTCCATGTATCCCTTCATCGTTTTATTACATAAAAAGCCTGCACTCAGTTTAAGAAAAGAAAGCACCGAGGAAAAGCCTGATGACCAAGGCACAAATCAGTAAGACACTAGACTCAGGTCTCTGGTTTATCTCCTTCACTTTTAAACAGCCCAGTCTACAATAAAGAGTGCAACACATATCTTGTTACCAAGGCTGTTCTGAAAAGAGAATGTTGTATGTTATGTATCCTCTCCCACCTACACTGCTCCATTTTATATCCAGAGCATTTCAAAGAGACAAGGAAGAAGGCAAGGAGTAGGGAGGAGAGGATCTGGAGAAATCCATGTGCTACAGGTATCAACTTGCAGACTTTCACTGTTTGACTTACCTCATTTAGCCCTCCATTTTCAGAAAACAAAAGGGAGAATCTGGGAGAACCCCTATTTTCATTGCTACAGATAGTCAACAAGTGCTCTGCATCTTAATTTAGAACTCCGCTATCAATGAATTATAAAATACATCTGAAGAAGAAAATGTTAACCAAAATATTTCAAAATAATATCCTACCAATGCTGATATTAAATGACAGTAAGTTATCCTTCATCATTACCATGTGTACAAGTCAGCTAGACAACTAAATTCAACTAAAAGAACCAACTTCATTTAAATCAGATTCCAATATATATTCTAATATCATAGTGAACTATACTGAGCTACTTAAAAAAATGGCTTGATGCCCTTCCAAAGACAGATAAAAAGCTCTATTCTCCCTAAAATAATAAAGAAAAACACCCACCTTGATTACAATGTGTCCTTTCCTGGTTCCACTCCGATCTAACTCTCGGTGCTCATGTACCATAACAATTTCTCCCTCTTCCTCAACTTTATGGGTATTTTTTTCTACATGATTTAAAATTCTCCAATAATCCCGCTGGGCTATGCAGACGAACTGTCCAAGAACAACATGAGGACAATTAATGAACCTGTAGTACATAAACACATCACTGTGCACAAAGGCAGAGCACAAGGGCAAGAAATCGAGCGGCATCAGTCCTCTTTCATTCAAGCCCATTAGTCCTTAAAAAAACAAACAAACAAGGTAAAACAATTTATGCACTAAGAGAACGAAAAAGTCAACTGTTTGAGTTCTGCTCTAAATGCAGAAGTGTCTACTTCTTCCAAAACTGACACTGTGCAAAGAAAACATGAAGCAGGAGTAAATTAGAAACAAATAACTAAGTTCCTATTTCTTTCCTTTGTTTAAAAATAAAGACTCTTGGTTGATTGGCTGTCACACAGAAGTTTAATAAACTAGAATTTCTATTTTCATATTCTTTTAAAAATTTAAAGTTTGCTAAATTCTACAAATATCCAATGTAGATATAAAATCTACTTTCCTTTATTAACTGTCTAGCTTTCTATTTCTAATTCTCAAACATTCTAATTCTCAAACAAAGCTGTTTTATTTTGAAGAAAAACACAACAAAAATTAGGTGTAGCTGTTTTAAATTAAACAAGCAAGAGTATTTGAACAAAGAGACAAGCTTACCTGACAATCATCTACTTTAGTCCTAACAATTCCATGCATGTATTGCTTATCCAGAGTGGGAGTAATTCCAAAACTATTCCCCATAAAGAGATTTTCAACTTTTCCGTCTGGATGACTAATTTCTATAGTGCCATTCAAAATAACATACCATGAGTCAAGCTACACAAAAAAAAAATTAAAAACCTTTTAAAAAAGATTTCATGTTAACAAGAATCTATCAAAATATATAACTTGCATAATTTTAAAAAGAAAAAGCAAGATCTGGTTCTATATTATTAAGTTCTCTTATCAATAATTCTCTTAGTCTTGTCTACATACATTATTAAAATTTATTTTACTTTCTTATTTTAGTCAACAATGAAAATTAGGAACTTTCATAATTGGCCAAATTCTTGTTGGCAAATACACCATTTAAGAACACAAACCCTTAGAATTGTAATCCAGATCCTACATCAACCAGCTGAATGACTTTCAGAATGTTCTATAACCCCATGCAGACTTCATTTTCACCACTGCTAAAATGGTAGTTGCTATTATAGGACTACTATGTTAACAAAATGAGTTTTTAAATACTAAAGTGCCTAGAACAATGCCTGGTACATAATAATTACTCTAAATATAAACTGGAAAATGGCAAGAAAATGTTCCAATGAGAAGGGAAGGGAAAGAGTCAAGAAAAAAAAAAAAAAGAAGGAAAAATGGAAACAAAGCTTTTGTAAACAGAAGAGGGGCTGAAAGAAGGGAAGTGGTAAAAAAACGACAAGGCAAGATATACCATGTACAGCTACAAATTCCATATAACGAGTGTTATTACTATGTGTATCTAAAATGTACTAATAAAATAAAAAGAAAAAAGTGTAGATACTTATGGCTTAGAAAAATTAGAAAACCTCTAAACTTAACAAAGTAAAACATTCAAAATTTCTCTAATGTTGAGAAGACATTGTCCTCATTTATATGAAAGTATTTAATCCTGCAGGGAGATAACATTTTTAAAGATCTAATGTGTATCAACAAAATACTACTTTTTTCCTGATTTGATACCCCCCTCCTCTTATTAGCCTACCTTTCAATAATTTTAATGAGACTTAATGAAAATCTAGTTCCAGTTCTTGTATGGTTACCTTTCAAAAGTTCACTTTTTTTGCTATTTTAATAAGATACATTCATTTTTGAATTTGTGGATTACACACACTACTAAAGATGAGAGACTATATCTGATTTTCCCTATCACTGTATCACTGTGTCTAAAGTAGTACGTGGCACATAACAAAATTTTCTGGTAGGACTGCAGAAAATTAGAAGGATACAAAAACTTAAGGAAAAGCAAATAAAAATAATTTAAAACCTTATTGTTCTACAGCTAATACTTCAGCTTACTTCTTGCCAAATATCATTTACAATTGTCGACATACTTGAGTTTTTGTGTCTTTAAAAAATTTAATTTGATGTTCGTTTGTCAATCAAACTCTTAGGGGGAATATACACTGTGTGACGGAAGTATTCTAGGAGATAAGAAAATATGCAAACCAAAGCTAAAGATAAAGCCTCTGATCTCAAAGAAAGAAACTTCCATAATTTGGGGAGCAGGGGCAATAGCTCAGTGGTAGAGCACTTGCCTAGCATGTTTAAGATTCTCATTCCAGTTCTATTGTTATAAAAAAAAAAACCAAAATGGAATGACTATATATCTATCTATATAGATAGATAGATATATGACTATATAATTTATTGTATGCTTATATAATGATTTGGTTAATCACTGCCTTTTGGTTACCTTGGTCACTTTCAATTTTTACTATGATAAATACATGGCAATGAACACCACTGGATGTTACTTAAGTTTTTTTACATGACATCAAGAGAAACACTAAGTCAAACAATAGGTCAGAGCTGTGAGTACCTCGAGTTTTAGGCATGCTGGTATACAGTAACTCATTTGAACATAGTAGTCCTATCAAACTTTTTATGGCCATTTTAGGAGTAGTTAAGAATTAACCTCTCTCTCTCTCTCTCTCTCTCTCTCTCTGTTCTAATCCCTTCCAACCCCTTTATATCCTTTCTGTAACAATCTACAAGATGCCATCCAAGCATTTTTAAACAAAATTGCCACACAAATATCTCAAGTAGCCACAGCCCACTAGGAGGCACTGTCAGCAAGATGCTTCCCTCTTTTTTAGAAAGGGATAATATAGAAAAATCTATTTGATAAATATTTTAAACAATAATGATAGATACAAATGTACAGTTTGTCAAAAAGCCCTAGAACCTAATCTGAGCCAGGCATGGTGGGACATGCTTATAACCCCAGCATTCAGAAGGCTGAGATAAGAGGATCACTTTGAGTTTGAGACTAGCCTGAGCTGCAGTTTGAGTTCAAGCCAGCTTGAATTGTACAGTGAAACCCTGTCTCAAAGACAAAAACAAAACAAGAACAACAAAACAAAATAAAAACTTAATTTGGGAAATAAAACCAACTGATTCAGTGACTTATTCATGGAGTTATGTATTCTGCCTAAAATTCATCACTAGGAAATCAAATCTAACAATAAAGAAAACAAAAATTTATCCCCTCAGAAACTATAACTACCCTGAACTTAGTATTCATTTAGAGTAGTTTAAATTTTTAAAGTCAGGATACATTTAAGTTTATAGTAATTAAACTTTTAAGAATAAAGTTAGAAAAAATTAGCACCCACATTACATAACACGTGACATGTGCTAACCTACCTCTTGCCCATCTTCAAGAATGACAGCTCCAGCTTGCTCCACCACTTCAAAAATCATCACTGAGCAGAGCTCTCTCCTTACTGACATGGTCATGTTTGCAAAAGCAGGGAGCTGGTGCATAAATTCAAGTAACTGCTCTATGAAACACAGAAATTCTACTGTAAGGATTAAAGATAAAACAAAATCTTGAATTCAATACCCAATACCTTATTCAAATTATGGATTTACACTGTTAGAAGTACAGAAATGAAGATACACTATGACTGCTAATTTTAAAACACCAGGTAGGGTCATATATGTGTCCAACTCACACACATCACAGGCATACTGCAGGACACCAGGCCTTGTGCTCCCCAGAGTCAGATTTGGAGCAAGACAGCAGTTTATCTAGTTCTGGAGCCCAAGCTGCCACCCTGAGGTGGCTGAGTGACTTTCTAACCTAACTGATAGGCAGGGCTTTCACCTGATTCTATCTGACTAGAATTTTGTTTTTCCTTTTTTAAATACTGTAATACAGGGGCTGGTGAGATGGCTCAGTGGTCTAAAGCACCTACTTAGAACAAGCTAAGCTAAGCAAAACACAGGGACCGCGGTTCAATCCCCCAGCACCACATGCCAGCCAGCCCCGCCCCCTGGTGGGCTGAGCTGGCCACACACACACACACACACACACACACACACACTCTAAAAATATTAAAAAAAAATACTGTAATACAGGTCAACAAATACTGCAATTAAATTAGGGACAATGGGTATGAATTCTAGTTCAAGATTTGTCAAAGCAATTAGGTGACACTCTGGCCTATTTTATGTTTATGGGTTCCACAAGCCATGCTTTGGTATCCACATATGAGAAATAAAGATAAATAAATATAAGTGAAAGCACACATAAACAGTCAGCTAGAGGGTTCAGTAGAAAAGACTGCAATAAGCTGTATACTAAACTCAGATAACTGGAAGCAATTGTATTTCAACTTTTTAAAAAAACGTTCTGAAAACAGTACAGTATAATTTGTCAATGAAAATGTACTTTCAGTTTCTGTCCAGATATTTAGTGCATGAGTTTAAACTGTTGATTATTTAACAATACTATATCTTCAGAATGCCAAGGGCTACTGACTTTTTTTTTTTTTTTTTTTGGTATGTTGACTTTTTTTAAGGACTCTCACTTTTTAGACTTTACTGATAAAAGTTATGATTTTTATCAGTAGTCCTATCTAATTCAAATGACTATTATTAAATAACCTAAGATAAACTCCTAATTTGATCATAAAATATAGTAATTGACAGTTACAGTTTATACCTAGATGTTGCCCCAGAGCTTCATGCACTCATGGGTGGGGCTTTGGGAAGGTGACCAGGCCATGGGGGCAGGGTGCTCCTCAATGGATCAGTCTCCTACGACGACGTTCACACCAGGCCCACTGGGGAGCTGGAGCCTGCTGGAGAAGCTGGGTTCCTCAGCTTTGCCTGCAAGGCTCTATCTCCTCCCCTGGCTCTGTCTTCTGTCTGCCACGCCAGGAGCAATGCCTCTCTGCCATGCCCTCTTCCCTGCCTCCCCGCCTCCGAGCCAGCCTGCTATCAGCCGAAACTTACAAATCTCCTGCAAGCTGTATGTGTTGAGTACTATGTCTCAAGGATGAGACAGTAACTAAAGCAGACACTAAGTGACATTTACTATCAGTATCTTTAGTATTTAATTTTCCAATCGAAGTACAGTAACAAGATCTGTGAGAAACTACATGAAGGAATATGTATAAAGTAATGTATGAAGTTCTAACCCGAAACACACACACACACACTTTTTCAAACTAGGGAAATAAAATACAGTTTTTGAAAAATTTTATAAAGCTAATTTGTAGGCACTGGACACATATTTTAGAAGGGAAAACTCAGTTGACTGCAATCAAAGCTTTTGTTTCATAATCTGTAGCAGCCAACTTCAAAGATGGCTCTAACTGATCCTGATGTCCTGATGAATTCAAGTTTTTCTGTAGCTGCCTCCCCTACTGTAACAGGGTTCTTTGGTGTGATAAACCATTGGCCAAAGTGATGATGTGTCACTTCTGAGGCCAAATCACAAAAGATACTGTGACATCTGTCTTATTCTCCCATACACTATTTGCTCTGGGGAAGTCTTTTGCCATTATGTAAGGACATGTTAGCAAGCAAGGAAGGCCAACATGATGAGGAAGGAAATGAGGTCTTGTACCAAAAAACTATGTGAGTAGCCATCTTATGACACAAATCTTCCAGCTCAGCCCAGTGAAGACTAAGATAACTGCAACCACCCTTGACATTCTGACTACAACCTTGTGTCACACACTTATCCACAAGTACCCTTTGTTAAACTGTTAAAAATCTCAAGTCACTAAAACACAAAATAAGAAATGTATGTTGTTTTAACCTTTAACTTTTAGAGTAATTTAAGTGCAATCAATAACTATATAAATTTACGCAGCCTTATGTGAACACATGTATTTCTTACCAATGTCATCATCCGTTTTGTCTGCAGGTTCTTTTTCAAGACATTCCCGAACAAGATCTCGTCCCTGCAATGGATCTGTTCGATCAATCTCTTCCTCTTCCTCTTCTTCATCCTCAGAATCAACAGGTCCTTCTGGAAGGCGCGTTAAATCTACATCTCCTACCTCACTCTCTGTAGCCTACAGAAAAATTTACATCACTTATCATTTTATGTTAACACGTCAGGGTGAATTAACAAAAATTACTCCTCCCTTAGCAAATATTAAAAAGGGTTAGACAACAACATATGCTGCATTAAGAATACAATAAGCAAAGCAGTTGCCTTAGTATGCAGAAGGCCAAAAATAAAAATACAATAAAATGACATTTACTATTTTTTTCTACCCAAAATATATAAGCTTACCTTTTCACAGTGTGATATTTAAGTGATAAATCATAATCAGGAATATAAATTTGGTCAGGAGACTCAAACATCACTACATATTTTATATGGATAAGTATCAATCTAAGCTGAAGTATGCTTTCATCAAGAGGTAGAAAGTCTAGTCAGAAAGGTATTCATGTGAGTCAAAAATAGAAGTTTGTGTGAGCCAAAATAAACCTCTTTTCCTTTAAAAAATAAAAAGTAACTTTGAAAAAAAAAAGGCACAATATTGGAAAGTGCTAAAACACACCTATCATAAGGAATGAGTACCTGTCACTTCCTAACCTTACTGCTGGATCTAACAGTGCAAAGAGCTAAGGTTAATATTTACAATAAGCCTAATCAACTTCAGCAACATATTAGTGTCAGATATATAAAAAGTAGCAGATTCTTCAATTCTATAAATTAAAAAGTAACTCAAAAAATAATGAAAACAATATTGTCTTTAATTATTAAGCAGCATTTTTGACTACTACACTCTTTTTTAAAAAATGTATTTAGTACAGGGTCTACAGGGTCTCACTACACAGACTGGACTTGCAGTGATCCTCTTGTTTTCAACCTCCCAAGCACTAGGATTTACAGGCATATGCCACCAAGCCCAGTCTCAGTTGCTCAGTGTGCCCCGGAGGGGGGTGGCATGGCACACTGGGGATTGAATCCCAGTTCCTGAGCCTGCCTAAGCAGGTGCTTTAATCCCCTGAGCTATCTGGCTGGCCCTTATACTCAAAAAAGAGTATGAATAACAAACAGGAATTCCATAAAAACAACACTACAGTTAGGATTAAGCAAGCTGCATTTAAATATAGTAATTGGGGGCTGGGGATTTGGCTCAGTGGTAGAATGCTTGCCTGGCAAGCTAGAAGCCCTGGGTTCGGTTCTTGGCATCAAAACCAAAAAATTCACCCTCCACTAAAAGACAATTCACCCAAAAAAGTACAGTAAAATCAAAAAAGACCAAAAACAAACAAGGCAACTAAATATAGTATTCGTCTCATTTCCTACTCTTAAGATTTAATTGTCTGGTCCGCTCAAAAGAGGCTCTGTATATTCTTTTGGGCATTGCCATTTTTCTCCTTCTGAAACTCAAGATTCTAGTGGGAAACAGTTCCATAGTTCTGAGATACAAAGAACAATGTCTCTAGATTTTTAGAACGGGAGCTAGAAGTGCAGCCTTTTTTCTCCTCTGGTTGCTGACCTGCAGGAGAAGCTGGGCAGCCAGCCTACAGCCACGTGGGAATGCTCGCTGCAGTGGGAATAACAGAGCCACCACCTTGAGAAGGGGAGGCATGCACGGAGGAGGGCAGTGAGTGAGCCAGAAGGGGAAAGCCATGCGACAGATTAAAAGAGCAACAAGCAAGAGAACAGAATGTGGCGCAGACAAAGAAAGAGCATGTGTTATGACCACGAAGGACACGGCGAGTGTCACAGAGAAAAAGAGGGACAGGAAAGCAAGCTGCAAGGAGTCAAGTGATCAGAACAGACAGACATGTTTATTTATAAACATGCAGGCTCCTTGAGGCCAGAGCTGACTGTGCTTTCTCTGTGCTTCAACAAATTATCCTGTTGGTTTTTATTAATTCAAGTTAATGCATAGATATGTGCTGCAGACAGTTCTGTGTAGTTTTTCTAAGAGCATGACTTGTATTTTCTTTGAATTTTTGTACAGCTTTAAATATTAGCTGGTTAACCACCCAGACTAAATACTGAACTCAACACCTAACTTTAGATCTTTAGTATCATATAGGTTGGCTTTTAGCAGTCTACAAATGGTCTGGATATTTACAACCTCTTAAATATTTTTTGTTGTTTTGTGGTCCTCAGGATTGAACCTAGGGCTATGCATATGCTTGGCAAGGGCTCTGCCACTGAGGTACACACTCCTGGACTACCTGGAATTCTTATGCTGCAACACTACCTTCAAAGTACTATTTAGACCCTGGGTCTCTAGGAAATGATCAGGCTGCGAAGAGCGTGATTAAGCAGTGAGAATCTTCAAAAATGGGAGATTAGCAGGGGAGACAGTTTAGCAGTGTAAATGCCTGCCTGGCAAGCCTGAGGTCCCAAGTTCAACACCTGGTTGTTTAAAAAAAAAAAAAAAGGACCCAGATAACAAGGGGCACTACAAAAATGGGAGATTAGTATCTTTATAAAAGAGGATACAGCTGGACAGCATCATCAACAAACCAGAAAGAAGGCTTTCACAAGATACCAAATCTTCTGGCACAATAATCTTAGGCTTTCCGGCTTCCAAAACTGGGAGAAATAAAAGTTCTGTTTATAAGCTACCTAATCTATGACATTTTGTTACAAAACCTGAATGAACTAGAACAGGTCATATGGGAGCAATCTAATCTCATGATTGACTACTATGCTATTATAAAGGAAATGGGGAAACTCTATAAGGAAGTATAAACTCTAAGACCGGTAAACTTGAAAGGATAACAAAAATAATACAATTTGAAGAGGAGGAAAAATTAACAGAATCATGGAGATTTAGCATGACAATATTAAAAGTTAGTACAAAACATGTGAGCCAGGCTCCATATTCCTTAAGGCAGGATATGTGGCAGGCTTGATCCCTGACTTCTCAACTATTTTATACTACCATCTGGGACACAGCACTCAGAAAAATTACGAAAAATGAACTAAGTCCAGGGGAAAAACACTGGTGATGGGACTCATGAGACAAGCATTAAACTTGCAGTGCTTTTCTTCTCCTGTCATGTGAATGCTTTCTGTGTATGTGAAAATATAATTTGGTGAGTCAGACAGTCTGAGGTAATTTTCTGATGACTTGGCCTTCCCCAAATAAACTGGCAGAGGACATCCTTTTCCTGTCTGTATCTAGATAAACATGAATCATCAATGAGAAGAACCACAGGTTGAAATCAAGAGTTAAAAACCAAATCTTCAAATTTAGGTGAAGTATTAAGTAAGAACTTTACACTTGCAATGATCTCTTCTGTAATCTTATTTTTAATTTGACGTTCAATATTTTTCATGTGCCTTATATTTCTTCTTTATTTTCCTGATAAGGGCAAAAATTCTGTGAAATTATTTTTTTACACTTATACAGTCTAGGGTGGTCTGTAATGTATCTCCACAAAAGGGAAGGAGGCAGGCAAAGCAGGATTCCTCTGTACTGCACAAGAAAATTTTGCTTTCTAAAATTTCCTTGGAACCAATATTGGTTTCTACTTTCAAATATCATTTAATTAAAACAAAAATCATATTTCTTTAGTACCAATACCATACTTGATTCAGCATGAAATATAGGGAGATATAAACACTGTTCTCTATAAATGTATTCTATGCAAAATGTCATTGACCAGGCATGGTGGCACACACCTGGGCTACAAAAATAAGCTCAAGGACAGTCTGAGCTGCACAGCGAGATCTTGTCTCACAAAAAAAAAAGAAAAAGTCAAGCTGAAAATCATTATTAAAAAAAGCTCAGTGGGAAAGTGATATGATCCACAGAATACCAATTATTCTAAGGAGGGAGATCTCTTTATTCCTACTGGAAAAACATGGGAGATAAAAACGAAAATGTCTTCTAGGTGGTGTTACAGGTGGAGTACAGCTACAAAACCAAGGTAGGAAAAAGCAAATATGTTTGAGGAATACTGTGCATATTTGTCATAGGACAGAATCTAGAATATTTATGCAGGGGAACAGTGGAATATAAAAATAAACTGCAGATTGTGGTGAGAGGTGAGAATCTGTAGTGAAGAGTACACATGAGATAATGGTGACACACTGAAGCTTCTTAAACTGTGGAGTAATTCGAGCCATGGTACTTTTAAAGAGAAGAGAAAGAACAGATAAGACATTGCATACACAATTTCAAAACAATAAAAAAAACCAACCCAAGGTCACAGGCATTCAACAGTGGTTGTTACATTGCATATTGTCTTCAGTGTAGTTGCTCAGATTACCAGATCTAAGCATGTAAAATTAGTCAAAGAAAAATTTTAAGCATTAACTGATACCTTCAAAAAAGCCAACTGAAATTAGCAGTACACTCATCTTAGCTATCCTATGTATTCACATACATGCTTTTTTCCCTTTCTTTTTTCCTTTCCCCCATTAGCCACAGTATTTTTGCGATGTATTTCATATGGGAGCTTAACAGAAAGAGAAGATTAATCCGTGCAAGATAACATACACCTGTAATTCTGGCATTTTGGGAGGCTGAAGCAAAAGGATCATAAGCTTGAATACCACGAATACCACCTGAGTAACTTAGTGAGAACCTATTGCAAAATAAAAAAGGCCGGGCATGTAAGCTCAGGGCAAAGGCCCTGGGCTCAATCTCCAATCACTACCCCTACATTAATAAAAAGATGGAGGAGATTTTTGATGAGGACATATATGACATTCACAGAGATGTAAAAAAAAAGAAAAGAAAAAAGGAAGTGAATATCCAGTGAAGGAAGGCTAGCAGAGGTGATAATGAAGGTACCAGTGGAAAGGTGGTACCAGAGATCTAGTGAAGTTGGCATTGGAGTTGTGAATTACGAAACTGCTGCCAGGAAGGAGTTTTAAGAAGATATTTACGTATTTCTTACACAGAAACTAAGGAAGATAGGTAGGGGATGAATGGGTGCCACAGGCTAACAATGAGTTAATGAAAAGACAAACCCTTTTGTTCAGGAGTCAAAATTTCACAATTTTCCAGCTCTCAAAAAAGAATGAAGTACAGTAAACAGAATTGAGGAAGCAGCACTCATTCTCTTGAATAGTCTTTGA